TTGATTGTTTCTGGGGAGATACTGTTGCAGAAGGTGCATATGATGAGAATGCAGCTGATATGTTGACCAAGCCAGTTACTATCAACAAGTTCTTGCATTGCTTGGACTTGTTGAATATTTGCAGTTCCTAGAGAAGCATGGTGACCCAACCCACAGTGGCGCAGATGTAACTCCCAGGTATTTTTTCTCCTAAGGGGTTGGATATTCGCCAAGGTGGAGATTTGTTGTGGTATGACTCATATACCATATCGGGACAGACGCTGGATCGAAGCGGAGCAGAGCGGAGCGAAAAAATCTGTCCAAATTGAGAAGTTACGTGGGTTGCGGTGCGGAGGCAAAGCCCCGCTGTTTGGTACAGGAGTAATGTTGTAATTACGTATTGTGCCTAGGTTTACTCCTAGGGTTATAAATAGGCATGTTAGTAACCCCAGGAGGTATCCTCTATTCTGTATACCCTTTTCTGAATATTGAAAGGAACTCGCCGCTCTGCTCCCGATGACGTAGGCATCTTTGCCGAACCTCGTTAAATCTCCTCATTTGTTGGAATATTTAGATTTGCCAACATTTAGATGTTAGGTCTTTCAGAGAGTGATATGATGTGGTTTCATGCATTGAATTTCTAATTCATGCATATGGAACTGGAAATAAATATTGCTAAAGACCATTACATTATCTTGGTTAACTGCTTTGATGCTAAGCATAACATATCTTTACAAATTTCTGAAAGAAGTTTGCATCACCAGACTAAAAATTGCAGAATATTCAATTGAAAGTGGAGTTCTAAGAAAAAAGCTTTACAGTTGTGAAGTTAGTTTCTTGTATGTGTCAAGCTTTCTTATTTGATCTTCATTTTGTGGTTTTGGTTTCAAAATGCACATGTGTTATTTATTTATTTATTTATGTTTAATGTTTGACATAAATATGCTATCAAACTATCAAGTCTTCAAGAGTCTTTCCCTTAAAAAAGAAGAATAAAAAGTCTTTAAGACTCCTCCCAAATAAGAAAGAAAAACTCAAAAGCCCGTCTTTCCAGGGATAATTTAGTTGAATAATTGTTGGGAAGGATGCAAGTAATGTGGTGTTAGTATAACATCGGTTTTCTACAGAACTCTCAACTTTAATGGAAAACATGGGTGGAAAATCTGCAAGCATGATACAGCTGTTATTTTACTTTAATGGAAAGGAAGCACTACATTAGCATCTTTAGTTAATTGCATGAAAATTGCTATTTTTAATGGAAATCCTACCTTCTTCTTGCTTCTTTATGCCTTTGCTTTTGTCGATATGCTTAGATTCTTGACATATTTAAAAGTCCTTTATTTTATGTTATTTTCCTTGAGGGTTTTCTAAACCTTTTAAACGTGTTTGTTAATATGAATTTGTTCCAGCTTTCAACTAAAAACTTTAAGTGCGTCCCACCAAACTTTAATGAGTGCCAAAAATGTGGCAACGACTAGGCTTCAGAAACCCATTTCTGATGCTACTATTGACCCTAAGGTGTCGTCTGCTGGCAATAAAACCAGTTCTGTCAAAGGTAACAAATATGTGTTTCTATTTGTTGGGATCTTGTTGTTTTCTCTGATTATTATGTGGTATTAAATTCATAAGCAGAGATTGTCATAGCAAAGCATGTTTCCAGCAATAGACTTGGTTCCCAGTTCATTAGCACTAGTAAGGATGCCACTTTGGGTGATAGCAATCATCCTGGTGTTCTTGACTCTGCTATTACGAAGTATGAAATGACATTTTTCCTGTAGTCATTCTTTCATGTTTACTTTGTTTAACAATTAGACTATTCTTTTGGCTCCAGAACAATGGAGGTGAACAAAAGCAAAACAAATTCTGCAAAACCAAGTGATGCAAAGTCGGTGCGTATTTTGGAGAAAAGGATGGAATGTCCTTTAAATGTTTCATCTAAAACAACCAACTTGGCCAGCATTGAGAAGAAATCTTCTTTATCTGCATCTTTGAAGCGGAAAATAGACGAGGTTTCTTAATGCCATTTCTATTTATTTGATACACTTTGGATTTTTTATGGAATGGATATTTACCAAAATTTTTATGATTCCATGAAACTAAAGGCAGCATATATTAAAATAGAAAAATGAAAGTTTGAAACAAGTCCTCCGGTTTAGTGGAGGCACCGGCGCATAATTGCTGTTCAAAAAAGTTACAATGTCTCTTACTAGTTTTAAAATGCATGTCATTTCCTTTAAGGGGTCATTTAAATTCAATGAAATGGCAAGCCCTCTGTTAAAATTTAGAATAATGCGGAATAAAGCGGGATTTTCTTCATTGATATGAAAGGGAGTATAAATAATCCTTATATAAATCCTAGAATAAGAAAGATAATAAAAAAGAAAATAATATGAACGGAAAGATATAGCACCTATTATCTTAAATTAATTAATTCATATTAATTATTTAGAGATCAAAGAAAATAACATAAAATTGGAAAGCCTAAAATAAGGAATGAAATAACTCCAAATCTAAGGAAATAAATATAAAATAAGAAAGAAAATAACTCATAATCTAATAAAATAATTTATTCCTCATAACTTCTCACATAAATAATTTTTTTCTTAATATAACTTCTAACACTCTTCCTCAAGTTGAAAGATGGTTGAAAATCATGTTCAACTTGGATTTGAAAACATGAAACAATGGATGAGGAAATTTTTGTGAAGTAGAACGTTGAAGTCTTCATCCCGCATTTTGGTTGTCATTGACTGTAGTTCCTATAATATTTATAGGTAGGTGGAAGGCTATTACAGGTAATACTGCAAGGGAGTTTGCTGGGATATAGACAACTGCAGTTGTCTTTGACTGCAGTTCCTGCAGTGTCCGTAGGTAGGCGGAAGACTCCTACATATAATGCTGCAGCGGGGTTTGCCAGGAAGGAGACCACTGTGGTTTGTTTTTTACTGTGGTTCCTACAGTGTCTGTAGGTAGATAAAAGACTCTTATAGGTGATGTTGTAGGGGAGTTTGCAAGGTAGAATACATATTGCAGGAAAAACTGACTTCTAATTGACTGCAGTTGTCTTTGACTGCAGTTCCTGCTGTGCATGTAGGTAGCAGGGGAGTTTGCAGGGAAGCAAACAATATCCAAAAAAAGCTAAAGGGCATGGCATGCAAAAAAGAAAGAAAAAAAAGCCCTGAAAGTAGGTCTTACTATGGGAAAAGCTCCGGAGGGTCTGACACAAAAAAGCTCCAGATGAAGGTCTGTTGTAGGAAGAATTTCGGTAGAGTATATGTTGCAGAAAAAACTCTGTAAAAGGGCCTAATATAAGAAAAATTTCAGTCAACGCTCTGTTGCGGGAATGCTCCGAAGGAGGGTCTGCTGCAGGAAAGATTCCGAAGGAGGGTCTGCTGCAGGAAAAAGTTTCGAATGAGGGCCTGATACAGGAAAAGGCTTCGGAGAAGAGTCTGTTGTAGGAAGAATTTCGGTGAAGGACCTGTTGTAGGAAGAATTTCGGTGAAGGACCTGTTGTAGGAAAGCTTTGGAGGAGGACCTAAAATAGAAAAAAATTTTGGAGGGTCTGATGCATAAAAAGATTTCGGGGATGGTTTGCCATATGAAGATTTTCAGTGGAGGACATGTTGCAGAAAATCTCACAATGCTCACTTGAAGCTAAAGTGCTGTCATCGTTCCATAATCGCTCAACCTCAAGGATCAAACACCAAACTTGTCCGAAAAAAAAAGTCACTTCCATTCCTTCAGAGATTCATATACATCAAAGTTAAGACCGACATAAGGAATAACTCCTATGACAGATGGATGCCAAACCTTGCATAGTGCACGGAAGCTCTCATCGATTTCATAGACACTGAGCAATTCCATGGACCTAAGAAATCTAGTCTGCATCTCTCCAACCACTCCAATTTTATGGACACTGTTGCAACTCCATCACAAGCAAAAAAAGCCAAATCAGTCAGATTAGGACAAGTCTTAATAACATCCTTCAATGCATCATCACAAAGTGTTACTTCAATGATCTCCAAAGTCTTTAGCCTCTTAAAAACTCCCCAACTTGGAGACCTGGTTAAGTATTCACCCCAAAGCTTGAGAGCTTCTAAGTTATGCATTGCACCAATGCAGTCCACTGGACCACCACTTCCCTCTGCTCTGCCCCCAAAGCACTTGTCAACTGTGTTGTCCATTAGAAGCTCCAGGATGCGAAGCATGTTGTTTTGGAGGGAGATCTAGAAGGCAAGGCTTGGTGCAAAAAAGGGGCAATAAACAACTAGCTCCTCCAAGTGGATGGCAATGGAGATTATTCAGGAGATTGTGGAATATGCATCAGAGACGGAATGAAAGACATTTGTGATGGGGACACAATCCTTCCGCCTCTTGGAGACAATTGTAGGTAAAACATCTCGAGCGATGCTTATGTGCAATAGAATTTGTTGGATAATGACATCAGGTAACATATCCATCATTGTTGCAGAAAAGTTCTACTACTTTCAACAAGAGAACCACACGAAAAAATGCAAAAGTTCTCAAGAAACTGTTAAGGGGCATATTTTCAGAAGATCAGAAGCCGAGACATGCCACTCACAAATCCTCCTTTTAAAACCCCTGTCTTTCTTTCCTCTACCTGCAACCTTCAGGAACCGATCCTATAAAGAATAGTGTGGCAGTTTAAATAAATAATCAATCCAACGAAACACTTCATGTGCAGCATGAAAGAGCTCGGGGAGAGAGCGTCCCTCCCTTCCTGCAAGGAGAATGGCACGAAGAGAGTTCAGCGGCTCTAGAGGGAGAACCGGCTGTTAGGGCAGGGAACTTTGCTCTAATACCTTGTTGAAATCTAGAATGATGTCGTATAAAGCGGGATTTTTTTCATTGATATGAGGGGGGTATAAATAACTCTTACATGAATCCTAGAATTGGAAAGATAATAAAAAGTAAATAATTTGAAAGAAAAGATATATCACCTAATATCTCTAATTACAATTCATATTAATTATTTGGAGATAAAAGGAAATAACATAAAATTAGAAAGCCTAAAATAGGAAAGGAAATAACTCCAAATCCTAGGAAATAAATATAAAATAAGAAATAAAATAACTTCTAATTTAGGGAAATAGTTTATTCGTCGTAACTTTTTACAGGAATAAATTATTTCTTAATATAACTTCTAACAACTTCTTTCATAAGAAAATTTCATAGGTCTTATTCTTCAAACAAAAAATGACCATATAGATCTCTTCATTACTAATCCTCTTGTTTTGGCCCATTGGGGAGGGATGGGTTTTTTATTATTTGTATTTTTTTATTTTAAATGTGGTCTTGTGTGTTCAGGATTGCCAACATAATTTTCAATTATCCACTTGATTAATATGCTTTAACATCTTCCTCTCACATGAGAATTATCTACATTAATCATGACTCCCTCTCAAATTAAAACTCGCCGAGTATTATGCACCAAGAGCCCACCAAGCCATATACAGGCTTCATAAACTTTGTGCAATCATGATATAACTCAATAACAACTTATGTGAGTCGTAGAAGACGTGAATCTCTTGATCCTACCTTGTCCTCAGTAAACTTCTTATTCTATAACTCAACTATAAATTGGTGAAAACTTCGAATAATAATGACATACTAAACATATCATAGTCTACATCTCTATTTTATACTGTTTAATGATTGAGGTAACAGAATTCATTTTTTGGGTTGGGAAAAAATGGGGAGGTAAGCTTTCAACTTCTTTAGAATCTAGCATCATTAATTTTGTTACCATATGTTTTATGAATTGCGGCTATTGGTTATCATGAATTTTTTTTAGTGAAATCTACATACATATCACACAATTCTTATATATTTACATGTCCAGCACCCAAAGTTTGATATTCTCACTAATAGCACCTTTGTGTCATAAAGCTGTGCATTAAAAGGAGTATTTTACTTCTTAAAACTAGTGATGATGATATTTTTTATGTGATGTCAAAAGATTTGAGTGGTATGCATGCAAATATGAATGTTCAGGTGTTAGATATGTAGATACATAAGATTGGGAGGTATGCATGTAAATACCCTATTTTTTTAATGTTAGCGCTGCTATTGTTTCTTATGATGATATGGTAGATTCATGCATGTTGTACATACAATATGTTTCAATCAAGTAAAAGCTTGTTTAATGATCCATATTTGCTCTTGTAGCAATCAGTTGCAGATCTAGGAATTTCAAGTCCCATGGAATGTGTCAAAGAGTCCAATGCTAGCCAGAGGTTATTTGTTCATTCTGAATGTTTGATATTATCTTTTATGCCGACTATATTATAAATCTATGATATTACTTCAACTGGTAAATCATACTTTCCCAGGATTTCATTTGAATCATCTCCAAACACCAAATGGAAAATGGTAGGCGTGAATCCCTCGCACGGATATTCATTAGTCCTCCCCCCAGCCATACTAATTGATGATTATTTTTTTCTTTTCCCTACGTCTGGTTTTTAAGGTTCCGGACATCAAAATTACAGAAATTATCAAGGATCTCAACCCAGTTGCAAATTCATTAAATGTTGTCACTGAGATGGAAAATCTACTAGCTGGAGTTTCATCCTTTTTCATGGCAGATGACAATCTAAGAAAGGCTGAAACTCTTACAAAGGAGCTCGATAATGTGAGTTTTTTTCACATAAATATCTAACACCTAAAGTTTAATTTTTACATGCATATCACCTTACCTATGCATGAAAGTCGTATTTCACTTTTCAAAAGTTAAAATGGCGATATTTTCGATGTGGTAAAAAAAATTTGGGTGGTATAAATATAAAAATGTAAAATTTAGGTTATAGATATATAAATGCAAAGGAATTGTGTGGTACGTTAAATAAGCTTTTTTTTTTTTTTTGTAATATGCACTGTATTCATTTATCTCGCCCACGCCAGAAACTAAATAGAAGGGAGCAATTTCCTATTTCAATGTTGTTTATATCGCTTATATGGTTCTATCGTTTATGCTTTAAGATAAATGCTGGGATTCTTACTGGTTAACCTCGCAGATATGCAATATTGTGAGAAGGAAGCACGAAGAAGCTAAGGAACTTCAGGTCCGCTCGATAATAAACAATAATGCACTGCTCTTGCTCAACTATACCATGCTAGAGGAAAAGATATCCTTTCATCAGTACAATGGCTGCTGCTTCTCTTATCCTTGCTTATTTCATCTGAACCTCAAAGTGTGTTCCTTTACATTTAGAACATTCAAGCGCTTCAGAAATTTTCCTCAAGCCTGCTTATTAAGGAAATCTGAGGCGTTCGTGAACTACTGCTCTGTTGCCGAAGCTTCCTGTAGTACATGCGCGTGCAAGGAAAGTTAACAATCATGCATCTGCTGCTTTGATAATTACTTCTTTCTGGTTTCTTATCCTTCGATATTAGTAACCCCACCTAATTGGAACTGAACAATCAAATTACTTTAGGTTTATTTGAATGCTTATACATAAAACATATTTTAGAAACTGATTGATCTCAATTTTAATGTCAACAAAAGTTTACATTTGGTGAGGCTTCAAGTTGATAAAGATTTTTTTCGGATAATGAGTCGATCCCAACCATATGAACCATTTTAAATAATTGAGATTGATTCTACGTATTTATACTTCAAAATTCACTCTAATTTTAATGAAAGAAAAATCCAGATCATCCAAAGTCAATGGTTGACAAATTTACCTTCAATTATCCTAAAAATAACAATGTGTGCGTTGTGTTTAGTACATTCGCAATGCCTCCTGAGTGTACTTAAGTTCCAATGATACCTCTGAAATTCTCAGGAAAAAGTCATCTATCAAAATTGCATATGTAAAAATTGATTTTTGACACATTAATCACAGATCAAACTCTGGATTATATAATAGTAGAGCCTAAAGAAGCATGAAACCAGATGCTAAGGTCCAATTTATCGGAATGAACTTTAGTATGAATTGTACAATTAAACCTCAGTTTAGGCATATAAATAACAACTAAACAATAATAAAAGAAAGATTCGCATACATACCTCTCAATTCTTATGTATTTATGTAAACTTTGATTATTACATACATAACACCTTACTCATGCATGAGGTGTATTTCATTTTCTAAAAGTTATAATGGTATTTTTCATTTGATATGAATACTTTGGGTAGAGTATAAATGTAATAATTAAAATTTAGGTGTTAGATATGTAAATAAATAAGAATTATGTGGTATGTATGTAAATGCTCCATAATAAAAACCAACTCAAACACATGTACAGGAAACTAGACAAGAAGCCACCTCGGGAATATAGCGGTAGTGCTCACTAAAAAACAGCATTTACTGAGCCATGCATATCCTTGATAGATTTTGTTCAGATGATATAGTCTCCAACAGTCACAAGTATTATCATTCTAATAGTTACAACTGTTGATTCGCTAATACAAAACTAATGCAAATAACATTTTAAAAATAATGATAAAATGCAATAAAAAAAAACTTTTGAGATAATCAAGTTTTTAAGCCCAAAAAAATTCAAGTGCCCAAAGATGTAGTATGTCATCACATCATCGTTAGTTTCATCCCAACACTTTGGGATCGGTTTTATAAATTCTCATTCTCAATAGAACATATGATGTGCCGTAGTATCAATGAAGTCGGATACTCCAAAATGTGTTGCTGAAGAAAACGGCCATAACTCTGCTGGTCGCAATTCAACATGCTAAGTATACGGCAAACATCTTCAACGCAATTTATTTTTCTATGTCCAAAAATCAAATTGTACGGGTGGTTTATGTTAGAGCTTCTAAAGAGCCGTCAAATGTCTTGCATGATAGTTGTTATTCAAGCTTTGTTGACCCTGGCAATGGCAGCAACATGGGCCTGAGGTTCAAATGAGATTTAGATGAGCTTGGTTCAATATTTAACACGTCAGCCAAAAAAAAAATCATCTAATCAAATATGAACTTTGACATAATATTAACATCTCAAAGTCACTAAAATATTTGATTTTAAAACAAAAAAAAAAAATTGACTGAGAGGTTTGAACTACATTTTATATAAACCTGTAGTCAACAAATCGTGACAAGATGAACCAAACAATAGTAAGTGCGCTTGGATCCAAGTTCAAATGAGACTAAAGTAAGCAATTAAGAGCATAATTTGGAACTTCAATAGGCCATTTTGGAGGCAAAACATCCTCCCAATGTTATATGCATAAAGTCAAAACTATCATCTCGATAAGAAAAATCTAAAAAGTAGAAAATCACTCAATTCCTACTACAATCCCAAATTGAGATTCATTAAATGCCTCCAATTGTAAAACCTGCAAAACCAATGATCTAAACATGGTTATAATGATGACTCGAAAAAAGAAAGAAAGTGTGTAAGTAAAAGCATAGAACAAAACATCAAAAATAAAAACTCAACAAATGAAGACACAACAAGCTTGACGAGAAGGAAGTCCGTAGGGATGAGCTAGAGCAGCCACTATGGTGAAGGCCGGAGAGGTGTCGGCGGCTGTGGAGGAAGGTGGACAGGAAATCAACCGTAGTAGGGGTGTCGAACTGCAGCTGAAGGAAGCAGGGAGGAGGCGCGACAAGTACTGGTTGTCCGTGAGGAAGCCTGTTGTTGTTGGAAGGCAGCAGGAGCGGTGTTGGTCTGCAAGGATGCAGGCGGGAGGCCGGCGAGTGTTGGCTGTCCAGGAGGAACAATGGGAGTTAGCTGGCTGCGGGAGGCGTGCCGAAGTGGGGCTATAGCAGCAGGTGGAGAGGAGGCATGGTGGTGTTGCTTGCTGGTAGGAGGCAGAACACAGGAAGGCAGAGCAGTGGCAGCAGCATTTTTTGGACTTTACGGCAGAGAACAGTGCTGGCTGGATCTCAGAGGAGAGGAGGAAATGAGCAGGGGCTGTTGCAGCAATTTGGGGAAGGGGATTGGAGATTTACAGAGCCTGTTGGCTGCAGGTGAGCAGCACGGACGGTGAGGCAGTAGGAAAGGGGAAGGGGATCTGCAGGGATGATGGCTGGGTGAGGGAAGCTGTGGAAAGTATGGTAGACAGCAGAAAGGAAGGGGGGAGGAGAGATAAATATCTCAGTGGACGAGCTACAGCCAGACCACCTCGCTGAGAGACAGCCGGAGCACTATCTCGACAGCGGACACAGCCCTCAAAGGGAAATTACCACGGTTAAACCTTGAATTCAGATTTCAAAATCAACACCCCCTAACTCTAGACATTCAACTCCTATTTATTTAGGAAAATAGAATTAAATTAGGAAAAAACTAGGAAGGAAGATAGAAAGAGGAAGAAAGGAAAGAAAAAGGAAGGGAAAAAAAGGAAAGGAAGGAGGAGGAAGGAGGGGGCGGTGGGGCCCCCCCTCCAAGAGGACCAGCCGATCCCCCATGCGCCCCGCGTCAGTCCTATTAGACATCTCTCAAAAGCATAACTCAAAGAAACAAAAAAATAATCAATTACCAATTAACAACTATCCAATCATAAAACTAAATTTGCTCATATTATTTACTTGCTCTATCGTTTTCATCAAGTGTAAAATTATAAATATGCCAAATATTTCTGGCTTGTAAGAATTTACCTGCAAAGAATTTAGCATTTAGTATTCATAAAAGTAATTCAGGTGGTAAACTGTGTGCTTCTTGAAAAATAATAAAAGAATCATCGCAATCAAGTTGATAGCACTAGGACACAACATATTTATGGAATTCACCATATCGGACACAATTTCTGAAAATAGCTCAAGGAATAAGCTAGATAGATTTGTCTGGGAAAGTTTCGGACGTAAATTCATAAGATATGAATGAAAAAAGAGAAGAATACAAAGAATAGGCAAGAAGTCATAATTTTCATGAATTAGGGTTTAGTTCTAATGTGTTAACAAACTTTTTAAGTAACCCAACCTTTTTCAAGAATTCTAAAGAAAACCTTCTTGAGTTCAAAAACACCAATACTTCATCTCTTAGCTTAAATTGCACGCACATCCTACTTACAACAATAGAAAGCTTATGATTTCCATGGTTAGTACTTAGTAGCATATTTTATGTGAAGATCCTAATGAAAGTCATGCACTGTTACATCAATGATTATGTAAATATACAAGGTCAAGGATTAATAGGAAAGAAAATAAAATCAATAAGCTTTACGGGTTGAAACCTTATAATGCTTTCAAATGAATTGGTGCAAATAGACTTACTAACAATTTAATTATATGTAATTCAGGCATTGATACTATCAGATTCTAATCAGATGCATGGTTCTCTATTAGAAAACATAATAGATCGCATAAACGCCTATTAACTACCCCAATCCAGCTGGAAATTTTCAAAAGTAACTCATGAATTTTATATTTCAATAAAAAACAATTATTTTAGGTAGCCCATACAAATTAATCACCTATTTAAAAAATGACTCAACAATGTGAGATGAATCAGTAAATTTATGGCATTTTTTGTGTTAGAATAGAAAAGAGTAGAACTAGGGTGTCTCATATTTATGTAAAGAGGGGTATAAATAACTTATTATAGGAGCTACTAGTAAGGAAACAAATTAAGACAGAATGACGGAAAAAAGAAGGTAAATAAAAAAAAATCAAAGTAATTAATACAGAAATCCGCATATTAATGTTCCAATATTCTAATACTCCCCCTAAGTTAAAGCATAGATGTCAACCATGTTCAACTTGAATTTGAAATCATCGAACAGTGGCCGAGGAAAGTTTTTTGTGAGAATATCTACTAGCTAGCCACTAGATGACACAAATGGAAAACAAATTTCTCTAGACTTGAGCTTTTCCTTAATGAAGTGACAATCAATCTCAATATGCTTAGTGCGATCATTCTGGATTGGGTTGTAAGCACTTCTAATGGAAGTCTTGTTATCACAAAACAATTGTAGAAGAGCGAAGACTAACATACGAATTTCATGGAGCATGATGAGTACCAAAGAGCTTCAAATTCTTAAGGGACATGGATCAAAATTCGGCTTCCGCACTGCTCCGAGCAACTATAGATTGCCTCTTGCTTTTTCACGTGAACTGGTTTCCCCGCACAAATAAGCAGTGCCCCGAGATAGATCATCGATCCTGGACGAACTCGGCCAAATCTGCTTCTGTGTAAACTGCAATAGAACACGTGTGGCGGGAAAAAAAAAACAAAATCCTAGTGTGCTCTTTAAATAGTGGAGAATCTGGCGGACAGCTTGGAGATGATGCTCATAGGGATCATGCATGTATTGACCGACTATCTCAACT